TATTCTCTGCTCACCATTACCACTAACTCACCTATGAGCGTTCACTATTTGTTCAATCCTCTTTTCTCTCCTCCTCCTTCCACATAATGGGGCATAAAAGGGGCTTCTGATTGAAGCACAGTGGCGGAGGCGCAAGCGATCACCCTTCGCCCGCCCTGCCGCCGCGGTGCCGTGAAGAAACCGCGCCGCATACGCGCATGGGTGAGTTTTTCCCTCCTCCCTCAACGCACCTATGGCAGACGGACAGTTTAAGGGGCGCGTCGTGGGTTACGGTACCATGACGGTTATACTGAAGTTAGCTTCTTGTTAAAAGGAGCGCATATGATTTAAGTTTTTGAGGAAAAGCCCACGATTGTAGCGGGGATAATGAAGTTCCATTACAAACCTATGGTCGCTCAATGACTCTCCAGGGAAGAAAAACAAAAAAAACCCTTGGAGAACACCATAAGTAAGGACTTGGCAGCCTCTCTTTGGCCAAATTTTCCGGACCTGCTCGTTTGCCAGCAAAGGCTGCATTAATACACGGCGATTCGCTGGACTTTTCGGCAAAGCAGGGTATACGTATCAATTCGAAGATTTCCCGGAATACGCGGAATCACCGTGTATGAAGGCTGCCAAAGGCGATATTCTACCGCCTCTTGCTCATTAATTTCTTCGCGTCATCAAGTGCTAATACCATCTAACAGTGAAACAAACGAAAAACGCGGTGTAAATACTGAACTCGTAACGGAACACTTTAAGTTTTGGTGGGCGGAGCAACTAAGGGGGAGTCACAACTGCCACTCATGAGGACCACAGCGCCTTCGTGCTTACTATGAGCCGCGAAGTTGGGATAATCTTGGAGAGTCAGAATCATAGTACTTGTGAGGAAGAACGCCTAAGAAGGGCTCGAGCGCGCGGACTGTCTTTGAGTGGCGTTACTTGGCAAAGTTGTAACCCAGTTGGATCGTCAAGCGATTGGAAACTTGATGTAATGCGTATGGACGCATAAAGCAGTCTTTAGGTACTGACTTAGTAGAGGAGGCCATGCTTCATTTGCCCACTGTTAGCGGAGCCAAGACGATCTGTTAAGAACACAACGGTGGCCGTTCTCTGCTATGAGAAGAAATTTTCAGTTTGGTAATTTTTCCTGTTGCTGTAAACGCTGAGGCGTGCCAGGGGGGCTCGTTTGACGCGGCACCTGCCTATTTTCTACCGATCGTAGAGCCAGCTTCCACAATTGATCGAGGGCAGACCAGCTTTCCGTCAGACCCTGCCATCCCCCTGAGCGGCCCAGAGTAAGCAGCGGACGACAATGTACATCCCCCATTTCGCCAAATTTGGGAAAAGTTAGAAGATGATGTGCTGGCCGTGAATGAGGGCCGTACCAAGGGAAAATTTCGGGGCGTGGGAGGAGACATACTTGGCAAAAAATTTTTTCAGCGCGATGGTGTGCTCTGGTAGACTGGGCGGGTATAGATAGATGTAGTTGCGAGGCCGCCGTGTGGCCCTGCAGAAGCATACGATGGCCTCGCAACTTATTTATTTGGCGGGTTTTTCTTTTTGTGGTAGCCATTTCTAGGCCCTCAATTACCGACGTATAAATGGGCTTAGCTTAGAGGCGTCAGGATTCGCTGATCGCTGTGATCGCGCGATTTCCGGATCGCGCGGTCGCGCCATACTGTTGGGTGAAATTACAAGCGGAGCGTGGCGTCTGGTTCGTTCATGTTATTGGCTCCTGTTCTGTATTTTTCCTTTTCCTTCTTTCTTCCTTTGTGTACATAACGCCCTCCTAATTTTAAGGAACGAATATTCTTTGAGTTATTTATTATTTCCTATGTAAAATAGTACTAAATATACAATATGCTAATTATTATACTGAATTTTGCATCTGAGTACGTTCAAGCGGAGTATTGAACATCTTGTTCCAAAAGTAAGACACGCAGAACTTTCAACAGCGGGTGATGTTGTTTCTCTCCCTTCCCCCGATTTTGCCAGTTCTCCAGATATTCACTTTACTTTTGTCACATTGTGTGCTTTGTTTGTTCTGTCGTCCTCCAGGTCTATACACAACCTTTCCTTTCGACGGTTTCTGCAAATCGTCAGTATTGCGAATATGAACACGGCCTAAAAGACATCAAAAAAGGTCGAACTACTTTTATATCGTTTTTGGAACTGCCTATTGGAGGCAGGATACAGCATCGTGATGTGAGAAATGGTGATATCAGTACGACTCCCTTCCCAGAACTTTGTTGTTGTTGTTTGTTGAGTTGAGTTGAACATGAACGAACATGACCCCCTCCCGGTGTAATTTCACCCACAGTAGCGCGATCGCGCGATCCGGATCGCGAAGTCTGAACGCGCTCTTAGCCTGCAAAGGGTCATGCTCGAGCTCACCGCGTCGCGGTCAGAGAGCACAGAGAAGATCACAAACCCGGGAATTACTAAATATTTATCATACATGCTGATCGCAAAGAAGAGAGTAAAATGATCATGAAGTGACTACCCTTAAAGGAAATGGACTCAGAGCATAGTTGCATTAAGCACGAAATGGATAATCATAAAAGCGACGACGACGTGTTACTACCACATATGCACAGAAAATGGTATAGTATCACAATCACCAATGCAATATCAGTTGGAAAGCAGAAAGAATCCTTATCGTGTTTGTCCCGAAAGGCAGCTACCACAATTCAATGGAGATTAAAATCAGCACTCGTCAATGGCAGCTGCATCTTTAGTTGCAGATTTAAGCGATAGTTACGACTTGCTCAATTCCAGTAGAGCACTGACTGTCGCATCTTTGTCACCTGTAAGCAATCATAAAAAGATTTGCCACGTAACATTGCAAGAAGAAAAAAAACCTCTGCTCTCTTCAAGTACACATCTGATGACTTCCTTATCCACACCAGGGAACATCGCTTCCAACTCTTTAGTGTCCTCTTCAGTTATTTCAACTGGAATAACACTTCTTTTAAACAAGAGAAACGCAGTGTGCTTATGGAGGTGAGAAAGGGATGATCTATTCCGCAAACTTCGCTGCTGTCAACAACAACATCGCAACTACAATTCCCAAGCAGAACTTGACAGCTACTCTGTAGTAAGGTGCTATCACGGAGGAAGGCGCTAATGACTTTAGGGGTGTAACCGGGTAAACCTGTCAAAATTTGGAAATGGTGGAAAATGGCGATCCAATGGCGCTAGTATAGTTGTACCAAGCTAGAAGGGAGTTTACCAAGTATTTGACTGGAATCTCTGAACCTGTAGGGTGATACACCACTACGAAAATACGAAAAACAGTCAAAGACACGAAGGTGTAGCACCATCTCCTCTCTTCTTATCTGGAATGTGAACTTTATCCAGTTATCGAGGGAGTGCTGAATTTGGAGAACTGACTGATTTTGGACCAGAGTGAATATAAATGTGCACTAGTGACTCTATACACAAGGCATTGAAAGGGCCTTGTGCAAAACAGATCAACAGGGACGACTTCTGCCAAAATCCAAGAGGAAGAAACTCTCGAGCAGGTAACCCCTTATGGATCGTAATCTGGTCCTTATGAGGATGATCCCAGTTCTATACAAGAACTTCAACCTCGGTAAAAGCTTTAAGGGAAGAGTGGTACACCACATTTTCCTAGAGTGCAAAAAAAATTGATTGCAGATACCTGGTGCGGGTGGAGGCATGGGTGCAGGTAACACCACAGCTGTAGGTACTGTAGCTTCGACCGGAGCAAAAGAAATGACCAGATGAAGCATGCCTTCCTTTCCTTCGCCCTGGATTTGACAACATCATAAAAATACCGTCAAACAAATTTATGCAATTTGTTGGAAAGGGATTATGAAGAAAACCTGCTGTCCACTCAATGGATAGTAGTCGTCGATTGTTTCGCCATTAAAAATAGCTTGTGGGAGCATAACGTGAGCCCATGCAACACATTCGTCAGCACTGAAGGCCTTCTAAAATCCGTAAAAGTTTATACTTTCTTCATTTAGGTTGACAGGCAATTTCGATTAGGGAGAGATTTCCCCAGAATAAAAAGCATACCTCATCAAAAATTTGGATGTAGATGCTTTCAACACCATTGGGCAGGTAAGCATGCACAGTTCGATTCCACACAGGACTTCGACCTCCACTGAGCTTTGTCTGCGTTTCAAATACCGCATGACCTACTCGAAGTCTGCAACATAGTGTCATAAGATTTTCCCATATATTTGTTCAGAGGGGAATGTATAGTATAAGAAAGGGTGTCAATAACTGCGATGGACGTGAAAAGGGACCAAGCGGCGGTCGCTTTTTTGGGCTACTTCGTCCACCATTAGTGGCTCGAGTCAACGCTCCATCGCTTTGTCTATGGCTGCGTCAAACTCTGCAAATCGGTGTGCTGGAAGAACCAGCGCTTCCGAACCAGTGTTTTGAGCTAATCGGCGTTTCGAGAGATAAAAAGATAGTATAGGCGTCGATCGGCGCTGCTCGCTAAAGCTATGGCAGAATCGGCGTTCTGAGCGAAACGGCCCTGGGCAATCGACTCGATCGATCAGTACCTATACCATCCTTTTCACTGGAAACGCCGATTCTCCCAAAACACCAGACTGATCATGCTTACCTTTCCACCCAAAATGCTGGTTCGATCCAAAACACTGATTATGCAAAACGCTCAACCACAAAACATGAACACAGCCCGATGTGGCCACAGTTGGCAATAGTGACAACCTGACTATATCAGTGAAAAGTCACACTCACCTACAGTATGGATCCATTCTTACAATTCCATAATTCCTGACCAAATTAGCATCGGCTATAGTGATTGAAAGCCGACCACGAGTGTTAGGCGGAACAAAACTGCCACCGGCATAGACGAGCTGAATCATGGAGCTGTTCTATATGAAGGGAACATTCGTACAACTCACTACTCTAGTGCCCTTCGAGATCTTTGAGTGGAACGGTTTGACTAGTGGCTTGACGTTTGGACGTAATCATCTCCTTCAGAAATCACCGTTCCAAAAGAAACACCAAATTCCGTAAGCGCCGACCAAATTGAAGTTAAGAAGAAAGTCCTTAAAAAAGCGATTCGATTCGCTATTGGTTGGCACATATGAAAAGCGATGTTTTTCGCATTTACGGCGGAATGGTGGCCTCTGGAGAAGACAATTGAGCCAAGAACTTGGACCACTTAAGAAACCGATCCATCAAAGCCTCGAAAAGACACAAGGATACTAGCTCAATAAACGAACATGCCGCGGTTACACAAGAAAAAGGGCTGAAAGATAAGCGTCTTTATAGTGCAACTTATATATGTGAAATAAAGACTTGATCAAGCGCACTGCAAATTCTTCCACAAATCTCACCTGTTGGGTTTGTTGCTGAGATGCAGGCACCTGATCGCGAGGAACTATTAATCGCAGAAAATCAGCTGGAAGCTCGCCGACTAACACCTGAAATACTTATAAACTTGTAGAACGTCTCTCTCGCCATGGCTGAAGTCATCAGCCCTCGAAAGGAAAATTGAACCCGACCGAGAAAACCTTATTAGTGCTGAATATCTCAACTAATGCAGAGCTACTCAAACTTGATTAGCAGTTCTCACGTGGTTCTCATATCTCTGCCTTTGCGCTCCTATGCATCACATTCACCCGTCTCACCGCTCACTTCGTTGCCTTTTACTGATGGTGTGAGTACTATGTTTTCCTTTTCACGCTCTGTGGCATCTTCTCCCTTCTGATTCACGCGCCTCAAGCCAAGCCCACATTGATCCTCATTGCATCCACCACTCTCTCTTCTCGTTCAATTAGTGACTTCTTTTGTCGAGCCCTACCGTAACCTTGTTTCTTTGCCGTTTTCCACGAAGTCATTAATATTTCAAATTCTTCACCACTCTGAGACGCGCAGACCGATGATGCTAGTGGCAAGTGAAATGCTTACGCTCGCGTGCGCCATGTGCGGTCAAATCTCGCGGCTCGGTTCCCGCGTCCAGGCTCTACTTTCCAGCTTGTTAAGTGGCCACTAGATTCGTAGGGGAGGATAGGAACGCTGACCTGTACATTGTGGCCGCGCTTAAGCATGGCCGAAATAGAGAAGCACATATTCACATCCAATTTTCAGTCTAGCTCACTGGATGGTCAGTGCGGGTGCGTTTGGCGGCGCCAAACCCGTTTTTTTACTAGTTGCTCAAAGCGCACAGGGCAACCAATCCGGTTGGAAAACAATCTGACACGAACGATTATGACACAGCTTTGTCGCTTGCTCGACGCCTTTCAACAAGAGGCGGAAACGGTTAGTTTGCTCATTATCACACAGTGAACCAAGATGTATTTTGTGGAGGTTTTTCTATTTTTTAGGCCAATTTCGGCCAAAGCTATCGCACCAGAGCGTAGTCACATCCTCGTATTGAGTATAAGCACGTTGTTTGCGGAAGGACCGATAATTGGCAATCACCTAGTTGCCGACTCAATAGTGGGCCCAAACACGTGAGTACACATGGCTCACCTGCCTTCTTCGTTCCGCAACAGACGTAGTAGACATCACCTAAAGTGAACACAAATTATTCAAAAAATTTTAAACTCTGCCGGATAAGTTATCAGAATCACATAGAAGCAAGAAAAGATTTCTCACACTCAAATCTGGGAATCAAGAGATGTTAGGTGTGTGAAGCAGGTGAATAAGAAATGAGCAATTTTTATGAAATCACGATTGTTAGCATGGATTTCTGCTAGGTGGGTCTCAGAAGGAAGACGGGGTAAATGGCAAGAACTCGAAGGATATAATCAGTCAGCGAGCTTGCAGTAGGCTAGCTCAGGCGACAACGAAGTAATATATCACTACCGTAGCACCTAACCGCTAATGAAGTGGGTCACACCTTCCAGCCAGGCCACCAGTACGCTTTCGAACTGGTAGCCTCCACTAATTTCCACGTTAACGTATAACGTCTGAATGTTTCCTCTTCTGTGCAAAGTTTTATGGTTTCTAGAACTTCAAGTCCGATCCACACAAATATGCGATTAACTTAAGCCAATAAAATATTTTCCTTGCGTTCCTTTTCCTGACTTGATGCACTAAACTTCACGTGATGCCTTTGGTAATAATGTCAGCATATGGACTCATGTGTCAGCGCTTTGCTAGTATCATGGAGGGTCAGGGCGACAGTCAGCGCCTGCTGTTGATAAACTGGACTTTGGTCTAACACTCCATGCGTCGCTGATTACCTTGTATTATATGGCAAACCCACTAATATGTCTCGTGAATCAAGCCTCTAAACACTGTTTAATTCAGTGATTCTGTGAAGAATGTCGCCAGTTATCCTAAATTGGATGAACCGAACAATATTACACTAATCCAGCAAAAAAGTCAGAATCAATATAAAACTTTCCTCAAGAAATGCCCTTGGGGCGCTGTCGCAGTTAGTTCAAAGCGGCAAGAAGAACAGCTTCATCAAATGAAGAAAGCAGAGGTGCTAGTCCGTCCAAAAACAAGTTTAATCTAGCAATATGGAGCCTTGATTGTGGTCACCTGAGGGTTACGTGACATGTTGAACTTCTGTGTATGGTCCTGTCAAAAACGCATCGAAATACGGCCAAGAAACCTTTGAGAAGCCAGGATTTGGGCTTTTTTTGAAGCGATGGGGACTCCGGGGTGGGTAATCCACTTATCGTTTGCGAAAAGTTGGATTGTCTGAGGTCACAATGACATAGAATGCCATCCAATGACGACTGCGGAGAATAAAAACATAAGACTACGCAACAACACATAAGGGTGCGTGTTAGCCGGGCATTTTTGACGCTGTTGTTCGTGAGATGCTGTGTTTTGGGTGTGCCAGATTGATTGTTACTGCTTCTTTGGGCGGGTACCGCCGTATCTGGTTGTTCGCCTATTTGAAGTTACCGTACTGTACCATTTTAGAGCAGTGGTTCAGATTGAAGACTAGATGGCGGATGCTTGGACGAGTTTTCCTCAACGGCTGGCATTATACCAACGATCGCCTTCCAGCTGCTATCAGCGCTCGTGTGTGGCGATTCTATCGTCGATGATAAGTAGGTCGCCGCCGCCTGGTGGGCGCCGCGTACGAGTCCTGCTGCGTCGTGCTCGTTGTTGAAATTGTTTAAAATGGATCATCAAGCCATATGTTTATAATCCTGTTATGCTTGTTCCGCATTTCTGTATGATGATCATAATGCATTGTTTTTCTCCGCATTCAAATGGTTAAATGGGGATTGTAAGACTGGTCCCACGTTATTTGCTTCAAATTTTTAACTGTTAACCCAATTTTGCGGCTTTCGGAATTGTGAATACGCGGTCTTTCGGAGACTCACTTGTATGTCCGGTAATGCAACTCCGGAATTGCCCGCCACCAGACGCACGCCGCGAGGGCGACACACAAGTTCGTGCGCGAATCGCTGACCTTGACTTGCCGACGATAGAACTCGCCCGCGGTCCCGCTATCAGCGTTACTTAACATTTCAACGTTTAATCAGGAAAATTGGGAACACGCCCAAAAATTCAGTAAATTCAGTGAAGTGTAATGACAGGAGTGCATGCCACACTGCGAACCACGGCTGACACGTCCACATGAGGAGGAACATAGCAAGGAGGCGTAACCTTAGCACGTTGTGGGCTTGATTATTTGGTGACATATTTGTGAACATACGGGGCCAGCCGATGTACAAGTCAGTGTTTTTATGCACGTAAAAAGAGGACACAACAGTGGCAGATACAACCAGAGATTGGCTCCGCCTATATGACAAACCCGTAATGTGACTTTAAGTACTCCTTTTTGTAGCCCTGTTGTAGCTGAGATATGCACAGACCAGGCAAACGACCGCTACGTGTCAAGCGAATTAGATCTGTAAACGACAGCCAGCTGTCCATAGGAATATTGAAGAGATGATGGGAGAAGTTAGTGAACCACTCCTCATGAATGGCGAAAACCCCTCTTTGCACGAAGGAACTAGTTCCACTAAACTCTTTTCTTCCCTAGGCTCATCAGGCAAAAGAGAACCTTATCCCGTTCCTTACCCGGCTTGTAATCTTTCCATAACACCTTCCAGTTCAACGCCCTTATCACTCAACGCTGTTCAGCATTTAAAAAAAACGAAGAAATGGCGTAGAATAAAGCTCGTGATATTCCTACATGGTTTCTTTGTTATTCAAAAGACCTCTTGTGCAAAACTGGGATTACCGTAAGGCGCACGAGCTACTGCACCAAAAAACTCATTTTACCGGAATGGCAGCTGTAATTTTCTAGAACGCCGAGCATAAACGTGACCTATTGGGATTGCATGTGCACTCCCCTCCCCATTGTCACAATCCTTTAGCAGATAGCTCGCAAATGAAATCCTTGCAATCCCAGTGGGCATTGTAGTGTTTCCACAGTCCAAGTGATGAGTAGGACACACCAGTGCTGTGTGGCAGCAGTGATCCCGAAGCAATTTTTGCATGAAGCGCCATCTACACTATTCCAAGCGTACAGTAGACAACTTGGGAGCTCCGCCCCAGACTGCCACGCCCACTTTTCGCGGACATAATCTGCACACATTTTATGCCATCGTGGCACGTTTGATCCTCCCACTACTTTTGGAGCTCAAAAATACGTGAAGAAAGCATAATCTGCTCGTGACGAAAAGAAAGTAAGCCCTATTGTCGCGACCTCTCACCCGCCTTCGACTGCGAATTCCCTCGTAACGAGCTTGATGTCACCGTTGAAAAAACGAGAAGCCTAATGAGAAGCAAGAAAGGAATAGAGGAAGGAAGTAGAAAAAGGAACACTTGCTGACCCTGCTCGAGGCCTCCCTCCCTGCAATCGGCGCTGCCACACGATTCACTCTCCGTCTCTGACTGCGCGACACTCTGTCGTCTGGTTCCAACCTTGGTTCTTCCAATCTTGTCGCCGCAGACCGCCGAGTGCTCTTTCCGGCAATATTGATGCCATTATCAGCTGCGATCATTCAGTTATCAGTGGTATTTGTCGTTTAAATATCTCCCGAGCGCCTTCTAGGAGACCAGAGAACTTCTTTTCGAGTTGATCGGGCGCGTAAAAAAGTTCGTCCTTCCTACATGTGCTTTGGGAGACTTATATCTCTCAGCTAGGTACTACGGGTACTGAGAGTTGGTTTTTTGGTTTCGGGGCGTATCAGAGAGACACTGACCTATTCGAAAACAACTCTAAATGAAGTGGGAATGAGTTCTGAGACGAGTTTTGCAGAAACGTTTCCTGCTACGCGGAGCGCCGCGTATTGCGAATCCCACAAGGGCGGGGGGTCAGCATTTGAGACACGGAAGTAAGTTATTTAAGGGGCCTGCGACTCTCGTCGGGTTTTCCTTTTTCAAGTGCGCCTGTTGACGCCCCTACTTGAGGCAGCTTTTTTTGCGTGGAGGCAGTGGTAGAATTTTGAAAGCTAGAGACATCGTGTAGTAAGATGGGTAATTTGCTGTTTGGGCGCCTATGGTCCCCACTCTCTTTCTAGCTTGTTTCTTGGCATCAGCAACATTGAAAGTCATGATCTTCACTCATATTTAAGCTTTATATCCGTGATAGCTCCGGCTGGTGTCAAACTATTGGGTAATTTGTGATTATATTTGTAAGTGTAAACTAGGTTTAGGCGATATCGCCCACGTGGCTCGCTATGCACCAGAAACCAAAATCGCTGCCAATTTCTCAGCATAAAGACATGTATGAGAAATTGCTGATCTCAAAACACATGGGCTCTGGCTTCAGCTGCGTCAGAGCCGTTCCATTCAATGGCACGCGGAAAGATTGGACCATACCTTATTTCCATCTGAAATTTCATTAAGTAACAATATCAATAGTGATCATCATTATTCTAACCAACTAGTAAGTTTGCCATATTCAGCCTTCATGAAAATGAACTGAGTGGCTGAGCGGTGGCGCGCAGACGGGTTCTTAGCAAGGAGATTTTGTTGAAACAGGTGCTTTTGTAAGAGCCTTATTCTACGAAAATTTATAGGAAAAGAAGTCATCTTGTTATCTGGGAGGAATGTGAACTGGGCACTGTGCAAAAGTTCACCTACGAATGAAGAAGGATTATTAATGAAAGCGTTTTCACAGTGCCCAAGCGAGTACATCTGAGCTCCGGTGTCAGCAGTCTCGTCGCGTTGTATGAGCGCGTTCTATAATTTCTCAGCTTCGTAAAAAACTGTCCCAGTCATGGCACTGTCTCTGTATAATCACTCTGGTTTTTATCAAAACAGTTTCTTTTTTGGATTTTTTCTGGCTCTAATTTTAAGACGCAGTGTGAGCAGAATGGTGACTTTTTTGGAATCTAACGTTTTGAAAAGAAGCATCCTTTAGGCGACTCGCTTTGTTGTATGACTTGCTGTTTTTTCTCTGTTTTGCTATTTTCGGTAATATGCTTTTTTTTCTGGACATGGTCACAATTTCTTACAAGAGAGGTGCCCATATTGGGTTTTGTGTACTCTCCCGGAGAGGTGGACTCATAGGAGGGGGGGGGGGTCCAGATGTGGCAAGCCTTTGTGGTGTGCAGAAATCTTTGTGTAGGCACATTTCTTGCCTATTCCGTTTTTCGAGGATTCATGTTAAGGCTGAGTGAGCCTCCTATGTGTAGCTGTTGCGCACTTCTCATGCCTTGATGATGCATGGAAGCCGGCTACTGACCTGTGCTTCGACACTTTGCCCATTCTGGCACATTTGTTTGAATCTGCAGGGTTTCGTCCAGGGCACGGTCTGCCGCAGAGGGAAATTTCCGGAAAATGCGCCTCCCCCCACGTTTTGTCATTTGTTGCGACCCCCCCTCTTCTCCATCCTATAATATCTTTCAGCTCTTCCCAGCCACCTACCACATTTTTGAAATTTTCCGAAAAATTTTCAGTTTTTACCCACGAAATTTCGTCGTCGAGCGGAGGGGCACATCACCTACCAACTACTTGTTTCAACTTCGAAAAGTAGTTGTATAGTGGTCCTTAAATGGCCAATAGGCTCTTTCTAAAGCAGGTACGACCTCGTCCCGAGGTCCTGACGACTAGAAAATGCAACTCTCCGTCCATTTTGAATCCTCCCAACGATGTAGACAGCGCTCGTGAAGCGGAAAATATCAACTGTCAAAAAGATTTCTCCAAGACCAACTACGACCCCTCCCTCCGGCGATCAAACACGATTCCCCTCCCCGCTTGGGTCCCCCAGCGTGCCCTGTTTTGTCCCACTTATCTGTCGTTACTCTCATCCTCGACCTCTTGTTCCTTCTGTTCAGATCAACAAGCGCGGGGCTTTATCCAAGATTTTTTCCTCCATTTCTGCTTTGTTCTTCCTCAGCAGGCCACATAGCACTGAAAGCTTATTCCTTGTACGATTTGCATCTCAAAATGTGTCTTGAATTGAAGAAGCCGTCATGTATTATGAAATATGCTGATATTTGCTGCTATTTTTTGCAACGGAAATCATTAATTCTGTACGTGCAGATAATGTACGATGACAGTGACGAGTCAAGCGATGATAACCGACCGAGCGGACACTCATCAGGGCGTAAACGACTTCCATTTGATCCCAAACCCCATCTCGTCACTATTGTGAAGACTAACACAGGTATGGCGCAGTTTGGCGACGGGGTGCATTTTGCACAGGTATCTTAAATTTAATCGGGCCGAAGTCGGCTAAGGAGGAGACATTCAAAGGATTCCACGAGCAAAATTGGCACTGCCATAGAGGAAATGGTGAGAATGAACTAAGTGAACTGACTTCCTTGTATTGCGTTCACACTTTGCGTAAGCGCTTTGAGCAGAACCATTAGCGTTTTGAGCGACTAGGGTACCGATCCAGCGTTTGAACATATGCCACCCTTTCCAGCAACTGTCCGCGAACACGTTGTCTACACTTAACTGGTAGCTCAGAACCCTACGGAACGCTCAAAACGATGACGCAAAGTATGAGCGGATCCCATAATAAGAGGCTCGGTAGTCTTATTTTTGTAACAGTTTTTTTAAATGCTTTTCCTATGGCCGACTCGCCCGTGTACTTTTATTTGCCCTGCATAATTTGTCTTTCATATTTTGCCTGGACATGTATGATTACTCAGTTATTGACGCGAATAGTTGTCACACTGAATATAAGACCCATTACTTTAGGATTTGGCTTCAATGTGAAAGGGCAAGTCAGCGAAGGGGGGACAGTTGCGTAGCTTGAATGGGCAACTTTATGCACCACTGCAACACGTTAGCGCTGTGCTAGCGGATGGGGCTGCAGAACGAGCCAACTTGAGGAGAGGCGACAGAATTCTCCAAGTGTATGTTGAACTCATTACCTACGTGTACACTTTCAATGTTTATTGATTTGTTTAGAAATGGTGTCAATGTGGAAGGCGCCACTCATCGGCATTGTTGGTAGATTTAATCAAGCATGGCGGTGATCGCCTAACGATGATAGTGATTTCCGTAGAAGATCCGAAGTGGATAGGTTGGATGTTTTCTTTTAGCGCTTTATCGTGGACTCCCGTAAGTTTAATGTGGACTTTATACTTTACAACTTTTCATTTCCGAATTTTATTTATTTTTTTATTTTTATCAAGCTTCCACTTTATAGCTCCTGTTGAAGAGTTGTGCTCTCAAGCGTGGTGCAGATCGGCGACGGGAGGATGGGGGCATTTTGCTTTTTTGCTACTTCCCAGCAACGTGTATAGCCATCAAGTTTACAGGTTTCTACAGTGTAAGACTTGTGCGCAAAGTGCCCCCCCCCACCTGTCGCCGACTGCGCCCTCAAGTGTTTCTGCATCTTCTATACAAATTTGCGGATTACTGCTGTAGGTATGTGTGTGTTTTGTACTTTGGTCCAACGTTTCATTAAGACTGTACAACTTCATTCACTTTGCGGTCCAAAGCTATGTGACGAAGCACGTAGCGCTTCTGTGTTCACCCCTCGTCTCCGCAAAGCTTTATTTTGACCAAGTATTGGATAGGAAAAAAGGGTTGATCAATTTGATATGTAGAATATCTGCTAACTCTACAACATCTTACACAATAATGATAATAGCGGTTCAAAATCACGTTGGTCAGGCTACTTAGGCGCCGCGTTCATATGATCTGTGAAGGTGATGGATTGAAGAAATGAAATGCAAATTGACGAAAAGAATAAAATACGTATCGATTTTATGCATATCTGCATTTCTTCTAATCGATATGTATCCCTCTCTTCGTCAATTCGTCACTTGTATCATTTTTTCGCAAGGTATGAACGCGGCCTTATATGTGACGCACTGGATGAAGATGCAGTATCATGCCAGAAATCCATATGGTTCTTTTGTTTCAATGCTTCCTGTGTTTCACAATTTTCCGGCAATACCCTCCAGGGAACACTGGGCGCCATTCCGTTTCACAATCCGCATTGGGTCTAGCAGATTTGATGATTAATGTTGTTCCTTGCTCAATAAGAGTGATGCAGCGCAGTTTTATGCAAGGATGTGGAAATAGGCTGGTGAAGTCATAATTAAAGGCACATTCTGCGATAGAATGATAGATGGAATCTCTTTGCTCCGGACTACAATGTCACAGCTTTTCCCACGGCTTCACAGTGAGTGACAGAGGCGCTGCGGTCGTCAAAAGGCGAAGAAACGCCACCCATGGATGTAATAGACGGAATGCCTCACTTATCAGGGTCTCCCTCGTTTTTCAACTGGTCTGCCTGTTCTCTCAACCTTCCCTCTGGTCTCCCTATTTTTTTTCTTCGGTCCCTATCCGCAAAGTAGTGTCTCATTTCTTGGAATACTTATCCAGGTCCTGGGGCCTATTTAGGGGCTTTTAGACGGCTTCATCTGCTATTGGCCACCGTGACAAGACCTCTAGCTCATAGAAATGCGGATTTGGATATTAAGGCCCATGAACTGGAACCGTAGAATGTGTCACTAAAATGCCCTTTGTCGTATCTATGGTGCCATTTGTTTTCGCAGTAGCTTTTGAACCCTCTTCAGCTCAATTTTCCCTATCTCGTGCTCTTCAGGCTGCGTTCGTACTTCTCGTCGGCGTCTTGAGCGTTTTTGGTGAAAAGCAAGTATAGGTATCGATCTGAAACTCAATCATCACTCGGAATGCTCAGCTACGCTGGGAGTGATCAGAGTGCTGTTCCCATGCCTATGCATCCCTTTTCGCCCAAATACCCGGAAAACTCAAAACACCGACGTTCCTCTCACGCCGGATCGAGACCTCGATTTTCCTGTTGGCCCAAAACTCTCGAAACCTCGACGAAGTATGAACGCAGCCTCATACTGCCTGTTTTTGAAGGCTCTCACTTGATCGCGATACCAGCCATTTTTTGGGATTTCTATTGTTCTCATTTAGATTCGAGTGTGGAGAAGAAAGTGTGATCTCTTATCGGCATGATTATTCAGAAAGTAGATCGTTACCGGTAACTATTCCGAGTTACCACACAGTAAATGACGGGGTGGAAAAGTTTGTGGTGAGTATTTATAACGCTTGCTGATACTTCGCGTCTAATATAGTTAAATTCAGGTATTTAACTTGTACATGGCTGGTAGACATCTTGGTTCTAGACGCTACAGCGAATTCGTTGAGCTTCATTCACTACTGCGCAGAGAATTTGTAGATTTTTCCTTCCCGAAACTTCCAGGGAAATGGCCGTTTTCGTTGTCTGAACAGCAGCTAGATTCTAGGCGACGGTAAGTCTTTCAACAGTGGATTAAGTGGTATAGCTGGATAGTTTTTTATGCTTTACCCGAACCTTTTAACACAGACACGCCTTTTAAAGATATTTTTGGCACTTCACTACCGTGTTGCGCTACTTCATATAGAGCTTTTTTCAGAGGGCTGGAGTATTACTTAGAACGTGTTTGTTCTGTCAAAGTTATTGCAGATTCCGACATCATGCAGGTACACTCTAACTAATCGTTGGTGCTTTAATTGCTCGATTTAAAAGACAAGTTCTGACTATTCAGGACTTTCTCATGGAATGTGATCCGTCATGTGAAGTAGAAGTACGTGTCCTACTTCCCGATGGCGGAAATGTTTGTGTATCAATTCGACGAAATTCGACTACTTCACTTCTTTTTGCCCTTCTCGCTCGTAAACTGAATATGTCCCGAGATATGGCCCTTTCTTGTGCGATATTCGAGACCATGGAGCAGTCGTTTGGTGCGTTTGTTCTTTGCATTATCAGTGTTTGTTCACTATTTTTTTCTGCATAATAATCATTGCTCTCCTTTTTTCATGCGTCAAATTGCCGAAGACTCGAGACGCTTTTATCCAACCCGGTGTTTGTAGTGAATAGAGTTCGGTGCAAGTGCTAACAAGAGAATGGTTTGAACTTCCCATGGAACTTTGAATGGAGACCTAGGTACATCGATAGAGCCTCGAATGCTGATTACGAATATGCAGATTACGACCTCCCAGACGAGTTCTGGGTGGTGGAAGTTTGCAAAAACTCGGTTTTGTCTCGCTGATCGGTCATAGGGCAGTGCCACCGTGGCCTAGTGGTAATGTCTCGCTAAGCCAAATGCTTGTGGGTTTGCATCCCGTTGGCGCGAAAATTTTTGCTTCGTCTCCTATAAGAGCTTTCACTCTAATTTTCGAAATTTTTCCGAGTTTACGGCCAGCAGAGCAAGTAGATCAAATAGATCAAGTATATGACACAGTCGATCGAGTATTGATTGGCCACTATTTGTCCTCTCTGAACTCATTACCCATCCGTCAATCGGAATTTTTGGTCGGAATCACAACTTGGCCAGAAACTCATTTCTGGGGCTATTTTGACCCCCCCCCCTGAGCATGGATATCACATCCGTTTGGCGCGAAAACGATCGGTTCCCTCGTTCAGTTGATGAACAAAGCGGCGAAAGGCACAGCGTTATTCTCGCGATACGAGTATGATATCGTTTCAGGGGGCGAAAATACCCCTAGACGAGTTTCAGCCAAGTTGTGATTCTGGCCAAAACTTCCGGATTGATCGAATGTGTATGAGTTCAGAGAAGGAATAATAGTGTGCCAATCAATACTCATCGACTGCTGTGCCATATACTTAAATCCTGATCTCCTGCTCTTTCTGGCCGTACATCGAAATTTCGAAATTAGAGGTGAAAGCTCTTTTAGACGAAGCAAAAATTTTCGAGGTCGCATTGGACGCAAACCCACGGGCTTGGCATCGAAGCGAGACCAGTACCACTAGGCCACGGTGGCACTGGCCTCTGACCGATCGCGCTTACGAGACGAAAACCGAGTTTCCGCAAACTTTGACCACCCAGAACTCATCTGGGAGGTTGCCTGAGACTTTTAATCTGCATATTCGTAATCAGCATTCAAGACTCTATCGACGTACTTAGGTCTCCATTCAGTTCCATGGGAAGTTCAAATCATTCCTTCGTAAGTGGGAAAGATGCATTCCTACAGATTCGTCGCTAGAAACGCATCAATGTTGCGTGCGTAATCACTGTTCCATCATTTCTAGTCAAGACGGCTTGACTTTTCCGTATTGTGTCTTCTCACCACCCTTCCTTGTCGTGCAGATTGCCCTCGAGGATGGCTCAAACTAATTCGGATGTTCAAAGGGGCAAAAACAAAAAAAACACATACGGTCGGCTGGATCCTCTAGCTTTTGGAAGCAAATAGAAGAGTTTAACACTTGAAAGCGGAGGAGGTGATTGATATCCCTATTTTGATGTTTGCTGCCAGCTCATGGTTAGCAGGTGTGGCACTGTTCGGCCTAGAAGGGAAGAGAGAGAGAAGGGTAGTTTGCAACTTTCTCTAGTTCCCTTGTTATGTTTTCGCTCTATTCTAGTCACATTTTGTGTCACATTAAAAACGAAATGGATGCGAGTAAGAATGGTCAGAAATGTTTAACACGTTGGCGACATGGTCCCACTACTGGAGCACTACTTTTTTGGCCGCGTGGGAATTGCGTCCCACGTGGGATGCGGCTATGTGTAGAAGAGAATTTGATACGTTTCGAATTTTTAACAGCTACATATCATAGAGGAAGGCATTGTATAATATGCAGCAGGTGTAAACAATGCAGTTGTGTCATTGAGAGTATTTTACCAAGGAGGCAAACGAAAGTGATTTCCTTAGGAAAAAAAAAAGCAATTTTGTATTTGTAGAACTGGAGCTCCACAAGCAGATAGCTAATGGGATAAAGTAACTTTTCGACAATAGCAGATCTGGATCGAATCCGATTTACCACCTCTGCCGCGAAATTATTCCTTTTTTGCGACCCTATTTCCACGTCCCACGTGAATGAGGCGGGAGAATTCTATGGAAATTTCGGGTTTATCTTGGAAGTAATGGAAAGTAGCGAAGTTTTACTAGCTTCTGCAATGAATTCTTATCATTCTTCGTCTTCAATGTTTTTGGTGGCATAAAAGTCGATTTAATGCCGATCGGTCAAAATAGGAAAAACTGCTTTGTCCCACGCGGCAGACACGCGAAAAAGGACGCTGTCGCCAATGTGTTAACGGGTCCTCTCGAGGTGACCTTTATAGGCTTCACTGGAAACTTTTCTTGCCCTCACCAAGCCGAACTGCGCCGCAGCTAGATTTGCCGTAAGAACTTGCCCACCGATCTCTCTTTGAGGTTGAAATATGAGCCTTATCGGAAAATTGCTTGGACTTTTCCTCTCTGGACTTTCTTAAGTGGGTTGTGATTTTGTTAGCCGATTTTGTTTGTTTGATTTCATCCGATTCTCATGATGTTTCAGAGCGTAAACATAATATTGTGGGTGAATCACCGATCCAGCTCTACATTCAAAACTAATTCCTAGTGCATCATCGCTATGTGTCTGATTTTTGGGAAGTGGGATTTTCGATCACCCTGAATCAGGAACTTACAATTATGATCAAAAAGACCACCAATGTCCGCCATGTTTGTGTCCAATCAGGCCGTTACTGCCAGTCAGATAGCGTAAACTCATTATGTTTAGCCTTCCTCCTCGGAGGTGTTTAAAACTTTAAGAGTCTTATGTTCGGCGATTGGGGAGGGGTAGGGGGGGGGCAAATTTTGCACTCTTGCCACTTCCCATCGGCGTGTCGAGCCCTTAAAATGATACCTGTGGAATCTTTTGAAGCTATAAAATAAATATAAGTCAAAGATTGTAGGGACCACTTGTCAACTCCCGGTCCCTACAACTGTGAAGCACTGAAGTACTGTACAAATGCCGTTTACTATGGTAGCTCAATGAGCTTGCTCAGCACCCGAGTGAGACTCGCGTAGCGGAACTAATGAAACAAAGTGCAAAATGCCCCCTCCCCCCCGTCACCGAACTGTGCTGTTTTTTCCAATCAATCTGTGATATTCTAATTTAGGATCGCTTGAAATCCTGTCAGAAGATGTACCAGTTAAAAGCGGTGCAAAATGAGGGAAATGCGGAAGAGGTTTCTTATTTTCTTCTAGTAAAGTTCACTAACCCTTTGAAACGTGCGCAGTTTTTTTTTACTAGAGTGTCCTTGCTCGGGGAGCCATAACGCTCCTCCTTCTGTTCGAAGCTTCACTTGCAGTACTCCATTGACTTTTAAAAATTGAAATATGCAAAAAATTGTGTGCTGTGTCGCGAAACTGAAGGTTGTACCCAAGTGGAAACACGTGCTTGTGGCAGAAAACTTCCACGTTTAGTTCTTGGAGATGGCTCGTGAGATGTCTGGTTACAATGAAATCGCGTTCCCACCCTGTTGTTGTACAACAAGAACAGCCAGTGATGTCATAATGGTTGTGAGGTTTTCATCCCTTTTGCTGACTGCGGACCCTCCAAGCTCTGAGGTACCATCTTTTCCTGAGTTAAGGATTTTTTTTGAAGTTATAGCTCCTTGCTTTAGTGTGTTTGGCACGCACAGATTTTTGGCGTGATATTATTTGTATGTTTTTAGATGCAAGTCGAAATTGCCTGGGAAGATGTCATTGAGTATCACGTTGTTGAAGGAGGAAGGGCTTTTCAGTTCAACTTCAAGAGAGAGGGTAAACGAGCGAAGCCGATAAAGTTATTCAGTAATTACGTGAGTTTTTTAAGAATTCAGCTAAAATCTCATTGGATGGTTTTGTTATGATTGCCTTGCGGTTCCATGCCGATATCTAACGATTACGGCTGACCGGCTCACCAAGTTAAACGTGTGAGTGCTGTAAGGCTACGGCATAAAAAGCCGTTAAGCTGAGAGGATAAAAGCACTCGCCCGGAAAGCGTGAGGTGCGGGTTCGACTCCCGCCTGGGGCACGACTTTTGCCCACAACTCAGCATTCTTGTGATAACATCGGAGTAGAATTGGTGACTGTGCGGAGGGCGGGATCGATGAAGGGTGGGTGCTGTAGTAGATCAACTATTATGTTTTGTTTGTGCTTGAGATGACGTTATGTTCGTTCACCTGCACTCTCTCACCGCGACAGCAGCGAAGCGTTCTGTCGGGTCTTGATTTCATCCCCCACATTCGAAAATGGTGATTTATGAAGCTGAAATACTATCTCAAAGTGGTAAATAATACAAAAGTAAAGAAAAACCCTTGAAAAACTCTCCCAAAGTGCTCCATGTAGACCTTCATGCTGAACCGTGTTTGTTGCGTATAAGGCGAAGGAAGAGCATGATCGGACGAGTTCTCTTTTGCTGGTGGGCTTTTTTTTCCTTATCAAATGACTCCACTGTTCAAAATAGAGGAATTAGTGGGACAACCGCCTCATGGAAGTTGGGCGTCGCCCTGGCCACTGGGCGGAGTCGAAGCCTCGTCGCAAGTGGGCAGCATTTTCCTCATGTATTTTTGAGCTGCAAAAGCAGTGCTTCTTCCATGCTTGCGGGCAGGACTACCATCTCCAGAGAAGGCGCTTGAATATCTAATGAACGCGACGCGTTCAGAAAGCTCCCTTGCCTCTAGCCACGAGCAGGAAAGTAATCTTTGTTTCGTGCAGTTGCAGAGAGCGGCAAAAACTTATTTGATTATGTGACTGATGTGATTGATGAGATAATTTGTAAAGAAATTGTCTCTGCATCAATGACGTTGCCCATTAAATTTAGTTCACTGCGGTGATTGAATTACGAGTTATGGATAACAATCAAACATCAGTTCTAGAAAACTAGAAACAGCAGTATAACCATAGCGTTTTCTCACAAGGATCGCCATTTTGGCCCCTGTTTCTGCTCAGTTATCAATATCGTTGCAGGCGGACTATATGGCGGAATGCTTTGCACAAATCCTCTTCGAACGGCAGGTGGCTAGCAATTGGAAGTCACGAGTTATCTCTAATTCAGTAGAATCTAGTTCGGATAGCCAAACTGAGGTCACTGCCACATGAATATGCTGTCAAAGTCTCATTTATTCCGTAGATAATTTATTTATGGACCAGGGGCTTAGAGCTCTAATCCGGCATCGATAGAGGATGCCGCGCCCTCTGTCCTCACACGCTTTAACATTGATCTTGTGCTGATTTATATGTGTACACATTATACTATAGGCATTTATAGGACTGTTGCTTGATGTTCGGGCGGTGTTCGGCGTGAGGGGGGGGGGCAAGAAAATAAGACCCTTCAAAGTTTCCCAGGCCATCTTGTGAAAGCCTGTAAATTGCTGTAATTCACCGCAGTTTACCAGAGTTTACAGGTCTTACAAAAGATAGACCTGTTAGGTAACATGGACTAGCCGATGGAAGTGCAACCGCCCCCCCCCTTCTAGCCGAACAGGCTCAGTGTTTCATTCGCGAAACTTTTATCAGTTCGTCTTACTTGTCGGTTTTATAAAATTTCGAAATTCCCATCAGTCATTTCTACTTGTATTTACAACTAGTATTAGTCATTGTCTTATACTATTCACTTCGGGGATGTCACCACTCTACATGACATCTGTTACGGCCATAACCATAATACTACTTGCTTTTTATTCCGACTTAAGAGTGCGTTCATACTTTGCGCGTGCGCCAGCGTTCTCAGCGACGAGGAAAGCATAGGTATCAATCTATAGTCGCTCAAAACGCTACGGCAAAGTATAAACGCATTCTGACTGTTTTTTTTTTGCGTATTGACAGTAGAGTTCTTCAGTGATTTATAAATGTTGTGATTATTTGTAGCACGTAGCATTTGTTGCACGTTTTCTTAGGCTTCCTGTATCCGTAATGTTTGGAATGTTTCTTCCACAATATAATAACCACTTGTGAAAATGGGCTTTGTTTCATATTTGTTATATTTGTTGTAGTATGTACGGTTCATAATATTGGATGGAGTCATTATGTGCAAATGATCACTCGGTTTTTATTTCTCATTTGAAGAGTTTATATGCTGCCTATGGGCATCAGCATGTACAACATTGCCAGATTTGTTACAATAAATCGTTAGTGTGGAAGAGTCAGCGTACTTACGTGTCTGTCGTAATATCAGCACTGATACTTTCGGTTTTGAACTACTGAATTCTCTTCAGTTATGCGGTTGTTAGCTCCGGCCAGATGCTACTGGGAGCGGTCATCACTATCTATGCAGGAACCTGACTTTCATAATTTATCAAGTTTTTGGGTAGTAATTCGCCTGGAAGGCCTAGGTGGGTAGTAGTACCGAGCCGACAATACACGCGGATCGAGTCTCGGATCGGCTCTCGCCCAGGCCGAGCAAGTTCTCCATTAATGGGGATGGCAAATTGGTACCATATTCGTTTGGGAGACAAGAACGCGACTTGCGCATTAACTGGCTGCCTCGTATTAATTGTATAGGGCACCAAATCGTTCAGTAAGCCACTACGATTCTTTATGGAAGTGAGATGCGTGCCGCATCCCAAAAAAGGGGTTGATCGACGGAAAAGACATCCTTAACCTTCAACTGGCCTGTGGGAAGCAAGTAAGCGTAGACAAAATGTTCCGGCACTGCTGCAATTAAGACGAGGGGGAGATAGGATGGCATACAACAGCGCTGTTAGCATAAGTGAGCACCTCTACTGTATAACAACGCAATAATGAACCCTTTCTTTCTCCAGGCACCCTTAGACGACCGTAGTTAGCGCAACGTAAGCCCGCAAGGAACCTTTACCCCTCCCTTCCCTCTCTCTAATTGCAATGGAATTAGCTATAACGCAGCCTCAGAAAGTTCACTAACACAGGAAAAAAAATGATGGTGCCCATCTCTGCTGGAATGACGTGCTTTTCCGCTTCCAGAACTTTGGCTAAGGCTCACAAAAGAGGCCCCTCTCGAGGCGCATAGCCTCATAGCGCATAAAAAAGCAAAGCATTCACGTAATCTTGTTGGCAGCTGGATGTGTATTTCACTCGTTTCGTAGATGTCTTTTTGCGAACTATGTATGTTCTCAAACTTAACTCCATTTACATCATATAATTTCAGGAAAAGGCTGGAATGAGTTTGAGAAATATGTTTCTGTAGTCGCAAGACTTCATGGTAACTGGAAGTTGTGCCATAAGGTAGCAGTTGTATAAGTTCAGGTGATTTTTTCGTCTACCGTTGAGTATTTTGCCCATTTTCGGACGCTTCTAGGCCTTTAATTACCAATGTGGGTGATACTATTTTCACCCTCCCTTTTTGGCCCTCTACCAGCATTTTTGCTCTGGAATGCGTAACTGCGGAGCCGTCGCTAGGGTTGGGCTATATGATAACCACGTTCACACCTTGCGAAACCGGAATCGGATGGGAGAATGCGCTGGGGGGGGGGGGGTGGGGGAAGTAAAGATTCTTCTGAAGAATCGCAGACTGCACGAAAAAGATTAGGCGAATTTCTGGGATATAAGGCGCATCTCACAGAGTAACACGCGAGGGTACGGCAACAGTTTCCCCTGTGTTTTTTTTGCATAGTTCAATCTTCCAACTGTTTTTAGTAGATTTCCTGGTAAATACAGATCATCAACATGGATAAGCTTAAGAAAGGTTCGCAAAGTTGTGAGAAAGAAACACCGTTCAAAGTAAAGCCGCGCCCTTTGCTTCACAAAATATGGCAGTTGCGATATAATTGCGATTTTCTGATTCTGCAGATCGATACATGTATATTCCTTTTTGCAATTCTTCTTCTCCAGTTCTTCAATTTTTCGGTTTCAAAAGGTATGAACGCGCCCCAACGGCTCAAGTGCTCTGTGATCATGCACTAATTTCCCGGGAATGCAACGTTAGTGTCATTCATTTTTAGCATTTGTTTCAGGCATCCGTCGAATGAGCAGTTCTTCATGATAATGGATGAATCTGCGATGGATTGCTCAGCTCCTTTGCCTGATGACGGAGGCGCAGGCAGAGCGCTCGATCCGAAAATCATTGAAGAGGAAAGTCAGTCTCCTGGAAAAGTGACATCCAAGACCGATTCACAATCCACTGAAGGTTTCTATTTTTTTCTGTTATTCGTTTTTCCCTTAGAATTTGTTGTTATAGCGTAGTTCGCTGCGAAGTTGGGCGTGTCAGGCGTGGATAAGTTTGGCGCAGTGCCAAACTCGTTCTCCACCAGTTGTTAAAGCGAGCAAGTGATAAGACTGTATCATATCGTTCGTATTACTCGTTTTCTACCACTGGTTGTCGCATGCGCGCTTCAACAAGAAGGCAGAGAACGGCTTTGACGGCGTGAACACTCATACTGCTTAACACGCCTAACCGTCCGCAGCGAACTAGAGTATAAACACTTTCAGAACCCTGGGTGACAGCAGTTATTGGCAAATTAATAAATATAAACGTACAATCAAAAGTGATTCAGAAGCCCTTGATCCTGACGCACCCGTGTTTAATGGTTCGAGTGAACTTACCATAGATCCTAACATGCCAGAAGATGCTGCTGATGAGGTTTGTTTTCAGAAATAGTATTGATTCTCTTCAAAGAAATTAGTGGCAACCACCTGGCATGAGGAAACGTTACAGTGTCGTGATGTTGGCCTTTACTTCCGAAATCGATCGGAATCTCCCGATGTGTACCATTCCTCTGCTCGCCCTTCTACGCACAAGTCATCCTATGATGGTTCTTCCGAAAGCCAACCCCACAACGAAACTGCACCCACAAGTCCAACTCATCGGTATGTTCTCTTGATATTTCCAGTCATCCTCTATTTTGCTGTAGTACTCTCTAATCAGTGTATTTTTTACAAGTTTTTTTATAAGAAAATTTTCCGTGAAAATATTCTTACAGGTTTGATCATGCTTATGAAGTTGAGGATTCTCGTGATGAAGTCCGCAGTGAGAGTGGAGGCGTCCGATCGCGTGGACGTGGCCCACGTGGAAGAGGTAGAGGAGGAACCAGGCCATGTAGTGGTAGCGCTACTCCTCTCACCAACAGTCCATTGGTCAGCACGGACAAAAAACGTTCTGGGTAAGTGATAGTCTCTCTGAATCAATGGCAGTGGCATGATTGCTGGGGCTATTGTCAAGTCAGTGGTGGAAGCGCTGATTGGGGTGTGGCCAAGCTTTCTTGCCTAACACCAATGACGCTGGTGGCAAAACCGCCCACCTCCAGCAGTCGTGCCCACTGCCTTCAACAAGCGCTTTGTAGGGGATGTAGAAAATGAATTCATACGATTTGGTCGATTCGCCATCGACCATGTGACCCTTTGATAAGATAGCGGTTCTCGCAGATCTCCAGTAATAAGAATCTAACCTTTTTCGTCGATACTTCAAGTTGGTATGCAACTAGTTCTCTAATACTGGGGTTATTCTGCTTAGAATTTATCTAGTCCTTTTCACTTTAATAATTTTAGTCTTACATTTTCCTCCTGGTCCTTCGATTCCCCTAAAATTTTTGGGCTCAGTTCGGCTTGGTGGGTACATTTTGCTTATTCCTATCGATCACTGTCGATGTTTACTTTGGAGACCTGGAAACTCTTGTAAAGCTATGCAATAGCGCAAGCTTCGCTTAGTCTTGAAAAAGTCTGGAGGTCTCACTAAAGGGAGACTTGTAAGCTAACAGGAACTAGTGAAAAGAACTAGTAAACTAGAAAATTGCTCCCCACTCCCCCCCCCTCCCGCCCCGGGTATGTGACGAAAATCGTAATTTCCGCACTAGGCTTAGTGAGTGAGCACGCAATGGACGAGATGTCCTGGCCGTCTGAATTCGAACGCAGAGACGGCAAGGATCGATGTCGTTAGTTCGGTGCTCCAATTGCTAGAATAATGCGTATCAAGAACTTGTCACGTACTGCTGAACGATGCGTCGCACTCGACATTCACCGAATAGCGCCCACACTCAGTTTGAAAGAGGTTTGACGAAGTATAATCGCACACTTTTGACAGGCGTGGACGTGGCAGCAAACGTGGCCGGGGATATGGTTTATCACGCATCGGCGACGTAGTGGAATCCGAGCTGGGCAGCACAGTAACGACTCCGACGGCTGATGATGTTTATGAATTCAAAAGCAGTCCGGAGAGCGAGTTTGTCCCTGTGAGTGGTTCAGCTCCTCAGTGCAGCTAGTAATCGAATTTATCAGACTTTAGAATCAAGCCGACTTCGGAAGTCATGAGGAAAGAGAGCGATCAGCACCCCCAAGTGCAAAACGGCAGCGCTTAATTGAAGCTCGTCCCGAAAGTCAAGGAGGAAGTGCCCATTCAGGTGCGGTAAGGTTTTTACTGTGAAACGTGCCTTATTGTTAAGTGCCTGAATTTCCTGTCGGTACCATGCTGCTAAGTTCAGGAGACATGGAAATGGACGACATTGATGAAGATGAAATGAATTCAAAACCAGGCGTTAGTGATCGTAAGGTTAGTTGTTGTCGCCGCTGCTAAGGCGGTTATATTTTGCTGCGTTTACAGTTGCTAGTGCAACTGACAGTACTTGACGAATCCAGCCCTTTCGGATTCTTCAATCTTTCAATACGCGAAGCATTCAAATTCAGTATCCACATTGTGTCAAGGTGTGAAAGTGATCGCTAAGAGCGCGTTCAGACTTCGCGATCGCGTTTACTGGGGGGGGAGGGGGGGGGGGTGGGGCGGGGGGGGGGGGGGGGGCGTGGGGTGGGTGAAATCTACTGCGGGAGGGGTCCATGGATTTGGACGTCAGTGCACGTTCGTTCATGTTCAACTCAACTCAACAAACAACAACAACAAAGTTCTGGGAAGGGAGCGTACTAATATCACCATTTCTCACATCACAATGCTGTATCCTGCCTCCAATAGGCAGTTCCAAAAACGATATAAAAGTAAGTTCGACCTTTTTTGATCTTTTATTCCGTGTTCATATCCGCAATACTGACGTTTGCAGAAACCGTTGAAAGGAAAGGTTGTGTATAGACCTGGAGGATGGCAGAACAAACAAAGCAAACACATGTGACAAAAGTAAAGTGAATATTTCTGGGAGGGACTGCGCAAAATCGGCGGGAAGGAAGATAAACTACAACACCGCTGTGAAAGTTCTGGCTCTTACTTTATGAAACAGATGTTCAACACTCCGCTTGAACGTACTCAAATGCAAAATTCAGTATAATAATTAGCATATTGTATATTTAGTACTATTTTACATAGGAAATAATAAATAACTCAAAGATATTTCTTTAAAATTAGGAGGGCGTTATGTACACAAAGGAAGAAAGAAGGAAAAGAGAGAGAGCAGGATCATAAATCATATACCGTGACAATACCCCCTCACCGCAGCAGTAATTTCACCTCAGTAGCAGGCGATTCGGATCGCGCGATCCGATCGCGCGATCAAGCAATCGATCGCGCGATCGCGAAGGTGTGAAAGTGATCGCTAAGGCAGCTTTCAGGCTTCGCGTCAACGCTGTACTCGGCGCGCACAGGACAATAGGATGGTAATCACAATCACATCACAGCCCTCAGTAATCACCTGGTATACCTGCACTCGCGGCCAGGGCTTTGGGAGAATGAAAGAATGGAAGAGTGCGATTATGTGAGGGCAGCGCCTTCCTCCCAACTGGCGAATGCCGATGGAGTAAAGAAGAATAGGATGGTACTAGATTGTACGATCGGGAAATGCGTTCACTCCTGCTCTTTCATACTCTGAATAACTGTGGGTTGGCCTCGACCGATTCGTTCCTATAGCGTTCTTGTATACAGCAGTGGAACGTCAATGGCAGCGCGTCATAGCGCGCCGACACATGTCATTGCGAAGCCTGAAGGCTAATTAATTGTATTGAAAGAATTTAAAACCGTACCTGTCACATCCCAATAGTCATATTCATTTAGGTCCCGCCCTTACGCATCTCCTTACCCATAACCCAGACGGAAGAGGAGATACATAGTGAACAATCTGGCCATCAGGTTCTTGTTACATATGTTTATGGTGTACTGTGAAAGTTATTACTTGTCCTTTTTCTAGGTGTCTTCAGGGCATCTTAATTCGAACCGAAAAGGCCCACGTGGCCGGCATGGTAAACGACACAATGATGCCGACGAAGCTCAGAGAGTGACTCGTAGTAAGGTGGGATTTCATTGGTGTGCCTCTCGAGGTACATTACTGACAGTATCCGCATGTGAAGGCGGACTTACAGTAGAATCCTGGCCTCTAAAAGATGACCACGCCGAAAAGTTAGGTCGTTGAATAAAGTTTCCCATCCGAAAACCTCGAGAGGCAGAGCAGAACGAACGTATGATACTGATAGTTTCTACTATGCCTATTTACTACATTTCAGGTAAGGCAAACGGGTAAAGCGCTAGACGATACGGATGCTTGGACAAAGAAGAAACGTGGACGTGTGAATACAAACACAGCTCAAGGTGAAGAGGTACGGTTACGGTTAATGTTCCCTTATGTGACATGCAAGTCAGATTTAGTGCAGGTGAGTACCTCGTATCTGTTTTAAGGCTGATGAATCGATTATGTATGATGCCTCTCCTACGGCTGAGGGATCCGATGATACCTCTCCAACAGGCCAAGCCTCAAATTCTATGTCGATTCCGGATACGTTATCTGCTGAACAAAGAATCATCTACGAGAATCCACGTAGTGGAATGTTTCACATGAAGAAGCTGGTAAGTAATTCTGTGCAGAGTGATTTTCACACGTTTTCGCGCAAGAATCGCGACGACGCTTACCTGCTTACGCTGGTATGGCGATAGCAGTGGCATGTCGTTCTTTCCCCAATCCTAAACTCCTATGGCACTCGTGAGTTGTGAGGTTGATCATTGGGTCAACTACCCTTGAGGGCGGCTTTTACTTAATGTGGAACGCCAGAGTTTCGTGCAGAATGAATGCGATATTTGTGTTTAGGAGCTTGAATAACCCTTAGAGGCCAGTTAGACAGGTCGAAGATCTGATAAGATCTTCGAAAAATGGGCGAGTAAAGGGTAAGAAATAAAACCTGTTATGGACAGTGCTCTTAGGTTTGAGGATAACTTCCGGAGCGCGAACTTCGACGTAAACCAGCAGCCTTCTTTATTGAATGGAGGTTTCAGGAGCTTTCCCTTTGGATTTCAACTTAAAAGGGGTGTTAGGTCAAACGTTATGTAGATAGAGAGACGCTGATGTGTAGGGTTACGAGTATGGATGCGCAGGGTTGGCGTTAGAAGTTCATTATTGTTCATTTTTTTTCTTTATTTGTGACGAGGAAAAAGAGCGAGGAACACCACCCTGCTACTTTTCCTTTCATTCCTTACATATTTGCTTTACCAACTCTCTATAATTCCCTTCAAGGGAGACGGTCAAGACAATCGTAATTTGCCGCTCCCCGCGCGACGTCTCGCGCGACTTCTACGACCTCGAACATCTGCGAAACATCGTCATCTGCGAGCGCGACATCCCACGCGTCGCCTAGCGGCGCGGCGAGTTACGACTGTTTTGTCACATGCCCCCGTTTTTTGTACTTCTGTTCT